TGTCTAACTGTTCTGTATAGACTGAATGTTTACTGTACTGTTATCAAGGGATTAGGTCCCTGTACTGTGTGACTGTAAATTTTGTATAGACTGTACTGTTTGTATGTATGAATGCATGAAAAATCTTTTTGGCATACAGACTGTCACAGCTCAATGGACATTATTTATTTACTGTATTGGCTTCTGCCGGGCCCTGAACTCTGTTTTACTGTACTACTGTTAAGCTGGCCTTCGGTAATCTCGGATTACTGGCCGGTTACGGTGCTAAACCCATAGGGCCGGGTTTGGGTCGTGACATGTATATAGAACCAATGTGTTTATATACGTTATGTGTAGAGGAGGAGATAGGGGATGTACTCCGCGGTTTAGGGGAAGATAGGGGATGTACCTCTAAACCGGATAGGTATTGGGAGGAGATAGGGGATGAACTCCGTAGACAGAGCTCATATGCTTGTCTAGAGAAGTGAAGATAGAGCTCATATGCTTATCTTTGTAGAATGTGGATATAGCTTATATGCTTATCTGTGGATATTGTGGTTATACATATCTGTTGTAGAGTGTGGATACAGCTTGTATGCTTATCTGTGGATATTGTTGTTATACATATCTGTTGAGAATGTGGATGTAGCTTTTATGCTTATCTGAATGTGAGATATTGTTTTTATACATATCTGTGGAAATGGTGATAGAGCTAGCATGCTTATCTGTTGAAAAGGGGAAAATGAAAAGTAATTGGGACTTGTAGGTCGTTGACATAAATATGTAATTTATGTGCTTGTATCAGTGTTGACCAACTATCAATTGCTAATGTTTTAGTCATTGTCCATGGTTGGTTTAGTGTATTTCTACTGGGCTGTGGCTCACCCTATATGGGAATATCATTTTCAGGTACAGGAAGCATGCCACCTCCAAGGACATAGCTTGGAAGGCTAGAAGCGGACGTAGTGTAGTGGTTTTACTTTTGATGTATTACATGTAACTTCAAGCCAAGGGCTTAATGTGTAAACGAGTTAGTACTCTTTTGTTGAAACCAAGTGTTAACTTGGAAAGCTGTAAGCCCGTAGGGCATTTTGTTTTGATGTTAACATGTAATACTTATGTAATGAAACTCAATGAAATAAAGGAATGTGGTTAGTTTCTATGTAAATGCTTGTCTTATTTTGAGGGCGTTACAGAAGTTATCTCCTTTTGTTTACAATTTGATTTTTTAATATGATTGAAGTTAACTCACAAAAAGAAATATGTGATTGTAGCTTGTTCAACGGCTCTAAATAATATTTTTATCTACTATTTTAATGGTTTTTTTTTCAATTATTATTTTTTTATTATGAGAAAAATATGATTGTAGTTAGATAGCATTAAAAAAATTGTGATTTGTATGATTGAAATTATCTCCTTTTGTTTATAATTTGATTTTTTTAATATGATTGAAGTTAGATAAACATAAACACTCACAAAAAGAAAAATGTGATTGTAGTTTGTTCAATGCTTCTAAATAATCTTTTTATTTACTATTTTAATGGTTCTTTTTTTCAATTATTTTTTTTATTATGAGAAAATGTGATTGTAGTTAGATAGTATTAAAAAAAATGTGATTTATATGATTTAAGTTATCTCGTTTTGTTTATATTTTGATTTTTTAATATGATTGAAATTAGATAAACTTAAACACTCACAAAAAGAAAAATGTGATTTTAATTTATTCAATACTTCTAAATAATCTTTTTATTTATTATTTTAATGGTTCTTTTTTTCAATTATTTTTTTGTTATGAGAAAAATATGATTGTAGTTAGTAGCATTAAAAAAAGTGTGATTTGTGTGATTGAAGTTATCTCTTTTTGTTTATAATTTGATTTTTTTTAATATGATTGAAGTAAGGTAAACATAAACACTCACAAAAACAAAAATGTGATTGTAGTTTGTTCAATGGTTCTAAATAATCTTTTTATTTACTATTTTAATGGTTCTTTTTTAAAAGTTATTTTTTTTATTATGAGAAAAATATGATTTTAGTTAGATAGCATTAAAAAAAATTGTGATTTATATGATTGAAGTTATCTCCTTTTGTTTATAATTTGATTTTTTAATATGATTGAAGTTAGATAAACATAAACACTCACAAAAAGAAAAAATGTGATTGTAGTTTGTTCAATGGCTCTAAATAATTTTTTTATTTACTATTTTAATGGTTCTTTTTGTCACGACCCCATTCCGCCCCTAGTAGAATGGTGTCGTGATGGCCAGTAATCCGAGATTACCAAAGGCCAACTTGCAAAGATTCACACACAATCAGAGTATACATATGGGGCCTACATGTGCGGAAGCAATAAATTTAAATCTAATTAATCCATAAGAGCTGTGCATAGATTAAATGAAATGACATACAACTTAATATAGTTTACAACTTGGATACAATAAAATGAAGTACAAAATACATCTTGATCAAAAGGTTTCTCAAGCCGACATAACAAAATCCATGAAATACAAAGCCAAGAAACATGATCTTCAAGATGCTACAAAAATGCGAATCCAAAACAAGTTGCAATTAATCATCTAGGCGTCGCCGCCTTCCTGCTCATCACCTACATATATATATAGAGAGGGTGAGCATGGATACTCAGTGAATGATATAAGTAATAAAGGTTTTGCATGAATGATATCTGAGATCTTTTTCCAAAACAATACATATCATAACTTTACAAATCAAAGGGATGAATCAAGTTCATCTATCAAATCTTTCAAAGCTTTTTGGATGTTAATAACATCTACATAATACCAAAGGATGACATTCTGGACAAACAAACCCACGCGAAAAACCGTCAGTGGCAAAACAAAGGTGCAGTTGCCTTATAGTCCCCTGACACTAAGGACTTTCAAAACAAAGGTGCAGTTGCATTATAGTTCCCTGGCACTAAGGACTTTCCCAGAATGTCATCAAAACAAATATAATACATGATACAAAACTAGAGACAATCATT